GAGTAGTACCTTGGCGTAATTCCACAAACTGTTTCCTCAACTCTTCCTGTGCGGAAGGAGGGAAATCACAACTCCCTCGTCTAGTCATCCTAGTGAAAATAACAAAGGTATTAGCACAACAACAAAGGTGCCGAAACTATAATACTAGCGTCCTAACATGATGGACAGCTGTAATTCATTCCACGTAAGCACATAAACAACTAAACACTTATGAATTTCATTTCCGGATAATGATAGTCCCGAGGCGTAACTAGCGTTCCGGTTAGAAACAGCATTGATCAGGTGCCTTTCCAACAGGACTCCCAGAAACCCAAGGATCCAATCAACATCCAAGAAACTATATTTCATACTCACACAGTCACAAAAACATGATGTCACATAGGAACATAACATTACATCTAAGTCTCTAACAAGTGAGACAAACCCATTGTGATGCTAATCACTTCCCACGTACCCAAAGTATTCGAACCCGGTACGCTCCGATACCAAGTTGTCATGCCCTCAGAATAATACATAAAACCCATCACTTTAGACATGCAATGATGTACGAGAAATTAATATCTTTCTATTAATTAGAGTAGCTTTTAAAGAAATATTACATTACTACTAACAACAAATTGCCCTACGGGCTTACAACTTTCCAAGTTAACACTTGGTTACAAAAAGAGAAGAGTACTAGCTCCATACATCTTAAGCCCTTGGCTTGAATTTACATATAATACATCAAAGAAAGCAAAACAACAATAGCAGTCTGTCTGCCTCTTGCCTCCCAAACTACGCCCTTGGAAGTGGCATGCTTCCTGCACCTGAAAATGATGACCCATATAGGGTGAGCCACAGCGCAGTAGAAATACACTAAACCAACTATAAACAATGACTAAGATAACAGCGTTCAATGGGTGGTCCACACTTATATCCCAATTTATACCGTGTTACAGTTTCACCTTCCGTTTCTTATCCAACTCTCAATTCATATAACTATGACTCAGAAGCTGGTCAAACAACCGATATGAGGCAGACACTCATATTAAGCATTTACATTTCGCAATAGATAAGCATACTTGCTATATCAATACATCAACATATAACCATATAAGCTGTACCAATACATCAACAAATAAGCATACTAGCTGTATCTGCACTTCATTAGATAAGCATATGAGCTGTATCTGCACTTAAATAGATAAGCATATGAGCTGTATCTGCGTAACCCAACTTCTGTTTTAGAGGTCCAGCCCCTTTCTTCCAATAAACCTTCCGGTTTAGAGGTCCAGCCCCTTTCTTCCAGTAAACCGTGGAGTACAACCCGTTTCTCCTCCCACACAAACAATATTTATAAACAGTTATCATATACAATCAATCAATACATAAAGTTAATGTATTATTCCAATCGCTATATTCAATGGCACACTTAATCGATTAGTTTAAGTTTGCCTAATCATCATGCATTGTCTACAACAATCACGACTATCCTCCACCGATAGCCCAAAGCAGTTATTTCTAAACAGAAATTAAATGCGCCAAATAGGTAAAATATTGATATTTCAATTTGGTGAGTGATGAATAATCCAACTACACCCTTTAATCCCATACATCCCCAATTCCCACATTTTCAATTCCATTTCTCATTTCTCACATTAATTTCACAAATTAATTTAACAATGCAATTAGGGCATTTCCCATAATTAACAAAACAACCCTGAGGTTTCATTCCCATCAACAATCCAACATTTATCTCATTTCTCTATGCCCAACATGAATATAGGTAATAATAAATGAAACCCCAACTTTAGTAAAAATTACACAAAGACCCAAACTTTCTCAAAATTACCCAACGACCCCAAACATATCAAAATGCCAAAATTCAAAGACAAAGTTCATAAGATGGAGTAGGATATCCCTACCTCAAATTTGGAGCTCAAAGGGAGAAGATGACGAAACCCAAAGTGCTCCAAAACTCAATATGCTTGGATCAAAACGTAGCCCTCGACGATCAACACAAATTTTGTAAAGGCCAAAGGGTAGGAGAACAATCTAACTAGATCAATTCTAAGAGAGAAGTCGAGTTTTAGTGAGAGAAGCTCTTGAATGGCTTTTTCGGAAAAGTAAGGGAGAGAAAGGATGTTGAAAAGTGATGGAAGAATGCCCAGCTGCCAACTGATATACGCATGATCCGCTCGAGCGGAGAATAGAACGCTCGAGCGTCAAGCACAAAAATTGGACCCACTCGAGCGCAATAAGTCCCGCTCGAGTGCGAAGACACAAGAACAAAAAGTATCTGCTCGAGCGCGAAAACCAGTTCGCTCGAGCGTAGATTACCCCCTCTCAGAACTTTCGCAGACAATGAACACCCCGCTCGAGCGTAAGGAAACCCGCTCGAGCGTGAAAAACACATATGCAGAAATTTTGCAGAGGCACTGATACTGGAAGTGTGAAAACTCCGCTCGAGCGTGATATGGTCCGCTCGAGCGTACAACCAAAAATCCACCTCCGCTCGAGCGCAAAGGTACCCGCTCGAGCGTACCACCAAAACTCTGGGTAACAAGGGAAAGGGACTAAGGCTCAACCAGCCTGTTCAAAACACGCTCAACACATCCTAAAACTCAGACATACGGTATTTAAAGGATGACAACAGGACATACAACCACCAACTCCACGGAACCCAAGACCGGAACATTGCACATAAAGGGGACAAACCCGAGATCGCTATAATGATTTTGTTTGAATTTTTTCCTAATGCTGGGTGTGCCTGGGTAAGGTAGGTTTTTATATTTCTATTTTTTTTTTGGGGGGGGGATTTAGTGGAGTGATTTGTAGGTGGATGATGTTACCCCGTTTGTAGTGTTATTGGTGTGGTGTTCGTCCCTATTGTAACATTGACGTTAATTAACATCCAAACGTAAAACTAACTAATATACTTTTCCCAAACATAACACTCCAAAAAAACTTCTTAGTGTAACACTATAAAATAACACAAAAAAATTTCTTATTGTAACACTCTAATGTAACACACAAAAAAACTCCTTAGTATATTTTTTCCAAATGTAATACTCTAATATAACACACAACAAAACTTCTTATTATAACACTCTAATGTAATACACAAAAACTCCTTAATGTAACATTCTAATGTAACATACAAAAAAAACTTATTGATGTAATTTTTCCAAATATAACACTTTAATATAATACTCTAAAAAAATCATTAGTGTAACACTCTAATGTAACACATAAAAACTTCTTAGTGTATCATTTTAATATAACACACAAAAAAACTTTTTACTGTACTTTTTCTAAACGTAATACTTCAATATAACACTTCAAAAAAAAATTTAGTGTAACACTTTAATGTAACACCCCAAAAAATTCTTTGGTGTACTTTTCCCAAATGACACGCTCTAATGTAAAAAAAAATAAAAAAATAAAAAAATCTTAGTGTACTTTTTCTAAACATAACACTTTAATGTAACACTAAAATAATAATAATAATATGTGAGATTCTTCAAACCATTCCAAAAGGAGTACAAATATTCCTTAGTAAGTTTTGAACAAATGTATAATTTCAAATTGTGAGTGTTACGTTTGGGGAAAAAAAAGTACACTAAGGAGTTTTTTTAATGTTTTTGTGTGTTACATTGGAGTATTACGCTTGGGATTACACTAATTGAAGTGTTAAGTTTGAGAAAAATACACTAAGAATTATATATAAATATATATATATATATATATATTACATTGGAGCGTTACGTTTGGAAAAAATACACTACTTTTTTTTTAGTGTTACGTTGTTACGTTTAGAAAAAGTACATCAATGAGTTTTTGTGTGTTACATTGAAGTGTTACATTAGAGTGTTAGGTTTTTGTTCGTAATGTGAGATTTGTTCTAAAATGAGGAAAAATCCAAAACTTCTATAGTTCAAATTGCCCAAATGTGCAATTTTACATTTTGAGAAAATCACTTTTATCCCTAAAAAATTAAACCCAAACATATAAGTGACTATCCTTTTATGTAATTTCTACTTTAATAGGACCTTTGGGTTCATAAGAAAAAAGAAAGGATTAAACCATTTACAAGATCACATTAAATAAAATGTTTAAAATGAAATTTTAATTATATATTGAAAATCTTTAAAGAAAAAATTAATAATATTATAGTGACTGATGTAACACATTACATAACGCCAGCTACATATAGCCAACCATATGGAGTCCATCAATGATATAATTAGTGTTATATAAAATATCACATCATATGAAGACTGAAAAAAATCTTTCATCAGGACATCATAGGACTTTGTTGGCTTCGTTTGGAAAATAGATTAATTTTATAATTTTTTTAATTTTTATAGGAAAAAAAATAAAATAATTATAATTTAAATATAATATTTTATCTTATTAATTTTTAACATATTTTATCTCTTTATGGCTAAATTAAACCACCCCCAATACACACACGCACACTTTTCTTCATAATTGTCCTGTTCAAACCCCTCTCTCTCTCTCTCTCTCTCTCTCTCTCTCTCTCTCTACACAATATACACACCTCACTTTCTCAATTAGAAAACAAAACAAATTTGATTCTACTTTATTTTAATAAAATACATAATATAACTTTTAATATATAAATTTAATTTTTATGATATTAATATTTTTCAAAAAAATCTTTAAAATAGACTAATATTTAACATATTTAATAAAAAAATTAAATTAATAATACAAAATATGTATAAAAAAAATTTACATAATTAAAATGATTTGTATGACTTGAATTAATATAAATAATAATTATTTAGAATTAATTTTTGAATAGAAAATTATTACTTTTATTTACCAAGAGAAAATATATTAACTAATAAAAATAAAAAATATTAACTCAAGTTGTACAAATAAAAAATAATAATATTAACTCAATGCCGTAACGTGAACGTTTAAAGCTCTTGTTTACCAAACAAAAACAAAAAAAAAAAACAAAAAAAACGTTCTAGACCCCCTCTATTGTGGTTGTTTTGGTCTCTGCATGTCTGCAGTTTCTCTCTCTCTCCATAGAGACGAAACCAGCCAGAATTGTTTTTGTCTCAGCGCGTCTTGAGTTCTGTGGTCGTTGATCGGTTTATTCCATAGAGACGAAACAGGCCAGAATTGCCCCCAAAAATGACCTCAGCATATATAGATGGTGATAACGAATTTCTAAATATTAATGGTGGTGATGATGATGGTGATAACGATAGCCGAAAGGGCGACGAACCCAAACCACCACAGACGAGGAGGGCTCCACTCCGGGAACAACCGACTCCGATCCTCGACGGCGAACTCGAACTTGAACAACCTCCGACTCCGATCCTCGACGGTGACTTTCTTCTTCTTCTTCTTCTTCTTCTTCTTCTTTTTCTTCTTCTACTATCCCTCTTTGTTTCGTCCTCCATTTATTTTACGTTTATTTTTGTTTTTCGATTCAGTTGTGTTTGTTTGTTTAGGGGTTTCTTTATCCACTCTTTGATTTTCAATTGAGATTTGTTGCTAGGCAACTTAGATCTCAAGCAGAAGATGGAACATATGCTTCGAAATTTATGCAGTGGACAATATGGGCCTTTGCTACTTCAATTTTGGACACTCATAAAAATGGACGGCCTGTTTTTCCTTAAAACTCAAACTTCACATTCTTTTCTTGTGACACCAGATGATGCACTTAGTCGGTATTGGGAGCTATCTTGCGATCATGACGTTAGCTTGCTCCGACTCCGTTCCTCGACGGTGACTTTCTTCTTCCTCTTCTTCTTCTTCTATCCCTCGTTGTTTCATCCTCAATTTATTTTACCTTTTATATTTTTATTTTTTATACCTCAACTCAACTCAATAATTTTTTTTTATTTTTACTTTTTAATGATAACGATGGCGAGAAGGCGAACTTGAACTACCTCCAACGAGGACGACGACTTCAATCCTCGACGGTGACTTCTTCTTCTTCTGCTATCCCTCTTTATAATTTTCAAGATAATTCCTATTTTAAGCAAAATTCATGTCTATTTGTAATTAGCCCTTTTGTTTTTCAATTCAGTTGTGTTCGTTTGTTTTCATTTCAATTCAGTGGTGTAACCGACCCCATTCCTGAAAATGGTTAAACAACATGGAATGAATAAATATGTCCAGTGGGGATTTACAATGATTTTCGACAATAAGATTAATAGATATATGTGATCGTGAATGCTAACAAGTGATAAGTAGATAAATAATATGTTCTTTTATATCTAAAATAAACATACATAAATATACACTTATTTCTCAAAATCCCTTTTGGCCTTTCACAAAAAATAAAAAATAAAATTCTTTATTACCTTTTCAACTTATCACTTATGATTCAAAAGAAGTTCTTCAAATCTCTTTACTTTAGAAAAAGTTTTAAACTAATCAATCTTACACTTATTCTAACCTTTAATCCAAAAATGATAATTATACTACCACCTGCCAACTTACTATAATCTATATAACACCACTTATACGTACCAACACATATTATACAGACAAACAATACCACTATAACAAATTAAGTTTTTACTGCACCAAATACATGTCGTGGATACAATTCTACGACATGCGATGTAAAGTCGTATTATGACTAGTCATGAAAAGTCATTCACTTCAATGGTATGTCATAGTACGCCGTTAAAAACCCTTTAACAATAGATCTTGTACATTGTATTTGATCTTTTTACAATTACTTTTGCACGCCGTTAATTCAGGGAACAAACCATGACATTCATTGCTAGTCGTTAAAAATTTAATACAACAGCCTATTTTTCCCACCGTAGATAACCCAAATTTTACAACATTTTTTGCATGCCATAGAATATGCATATATATATATATATATATATATTTAATTCAGTAGTTTCTATTCCACATGTTTTTTACAATCTAAGAAAACGTTACAAACAAACTTTACAAACATATATATAAGCATTAATCAGCCACCAACATCTTATTTCAAACATCCAAAAAAAAAAAAAAACTATCCATAAGTTATGAATATCCAAAAACTATCTATACATTCCAAATCATCTAAAAACTATGTTTCTAAACATTGAAAACTATCTTTAATCAACCATGAAACGTCCCGTATTTTATTACTCGGATAACCTTACTAATTGTGTGAGTGATTTTCTGATCACACTGTCCGTTTAGTAATTCAGCTGCAGAACACTGGCAGAATAGATGGCACCTCGCTGTCCTGCACAGAAAGAGAAGGCCCCGGCGGTGGTTCTTCCACCCGGGGGCACTCCGACGATCAAGTCAGTATATCTCTCAAAGATAATCAAGTGCTAAACTCACTGCTCAAAGCATAAATCACGTACCTTAGACCCACGGGGGTGCCTCTCTTTTATAGTTAACTCAATCCCAGTCCAACTAGAAGCCTGACTTCTATGGACTCCCATTCATTGCTTACTTTGGACTCTACAAGAGATAAGGATAGATTCTCCAAGAATACTATCCTTATCCATCTTGAAGTCTTTCTTTATTCTAGGACTCTTGTCCCTTATCTGTTTATCTCGGATTCCGACATCTTCGTGGATAACCTCGGCATCTCCGAGATTACCTTGGCACAACGACCAGGACACGTGGAACCTCAGCTGACACGTCGGCGTCACCTCCTCACGTGTTGGTATCTCAAAAAATATATCCCCACAACTGCCCCCTAGGTTCTATTATCTCAGCATTCTGAGGTGATGGAACCTATATCGATACTTTCTTTCCGTACGTCGGTTTAAGAATTCTTCAGTCGAGATCATTTATTTCAGGCCGACATGTCTTCTTTCAAGAGCGTAAACTGCAGTGAACTCCTTCGCGTGCATGAGCTATCATGCATCACTTTTCAACTGTTTAACTCACGCGTTTTATCCTCATTGGATCGTGTTTGCGACGCGTTTGAAAACCACGTTTTTTCTGCGTGCGCCGTCTGACGTATGCGCTGCTCCAGGTGCATTCATTATCCTCCTCTGCCGCCGTTTCAAGTTTTTTTTTTTTTGACAAAACTTTTCCCTCTCTCTCCACTTCTTCACTTTTGCATTTTGAGTTCTTGCTTTTTCTCTCTCTAAACTCTTTCTCTCGAATCCGCCATTGCCCAAGCTCCAAGCTCTGCAACCGCCCTCATTCCTCCTTTTCGGTGGAACTTTTGCCATTCCGTTTTATCTGCAATAGTCACCTGACTTCAGCAATTTTAACTCTGGTTTCATTTTTCCTGGTAAGTCACTATTCCTTCCGTTTTCAATTCTTTTGATATTCTTCACTTCCGGTTGCCATTACTATTCTATTTAAACATTTAACCAGTGAATCATACATTTAGATGCATTTATTTCATGACTTTGCCCTTGCCCACGTCTTGAACATACGTACTGTTTCACTTCTTCTTGTACTTTTGCCACTGTTCTTGGCCTTATACTTCTTGTATTCTTTATGCTCTTGATAGCCCACCTTCGTTCTTGATTCTGAAACTTGTTCTTGTTTCTTATTTTCTATGTTTTTTCCCAGATCTGTGCCTTCGATCTTTGCTTTCATAGATTTAGGTTTGGGTTTTGTCTGTAGAACCTATCAATTCTTAGGAAAAACTAAAACAACCCTTACCAGTCTTTACCCATATTTTTTGCCGAGGTTCCAGCAACCCTCTTGAAATATCTTTCTTCTGAGACCCAGCCCTCTTAAATTAGGCCGTCGTTATGGGTATGTAGAGACATAGGGTAGACACCCCGACCAAACTCGAATACTTTAGGCAAGAGTTCTCCATTCCTGCCGATGTTCATCTGAGGCTGGCTAGAGATGACGATTCCATCATGCCCACAGACGATACGATGCCCTTTCCCATTGTAGCTTTTACTGAGTGCGGACTCCGGCTTCCACTCAACATCCTTTTTTGCAAGATTCTTCACTACTATAAGTTGAATCCCATGCAACTGGCCATTAACTCTTACCGAGTGATTCATGGTATCAAAGCCTTAGCTAAACAAGAAAACGCTAGGATCACCCTAGCCGATATCCAGTACTGTTATACCATGTGTGCCCTTAATTTGAAAGAAAAAGGCTACATTTATTACCTTAAGCCGAGGTCTACAGAATTCAAAATCGTAGCCGACCTTCCAGACTCCAACAAGGGGGCTGGAGACGACTATTTCATTACCTCGGGAAATTGGGAGTTTGCTCCAGACGAGGACATCCATCTCTACCCTCTTCCTCGATCAGTTTTAGAGGGCAAGGGTAAGAGCCCAGCATTCAGCTTCACCTGTTTTTCTTTCAAAGTCTTTAAATACTTTATCTGTTTCTGACGTCTGTTCTTCTTGCAGCTGTTTGTAAGCCACCGAAAAGTTTTCGCCAATCCTTTGTTCCCAGCAAGGATTTGAAGAAACTTCTGGACTTGCCAGTCCATAAAAGGAAGGCGCCTGTACTTCTCAATTTTATTCCAACATACAAGTCAACTTTGCCCAACGTTCCCAAAAGGAAGAAGAAAAGCCTTTCTCCACCCTCTACCACAACCTCATTGACTGCATCCACATCACGAACAGATCAAGGATCAACATCTGATCCAGCGGATTAGCCATCAACCTCAGCTACATACTTGATCCCGCCATCCCAACGAAAGCGTCGTCGCTGACTTGTGCTTACAGTCGAGATGTCTCGCTCAAAACCAGTTGCTAGGGATCTGCTGGCCAAACTCCCTACTGATGTTGACGCTCAGCCAACAGAAACCATGCCCCCACCGAAGTCGAAAAGAGTGAAAAAGGCCCACCCAAAGGCTAAAGTAACTCAGGTTGAGTCTGAGGATACTTTACCTATCTCTAAGCTGGCTGAGAGTGACAAATCTCAACACTCTGCAGGGAAGAGATGCTCTGAAGCCCAGCCATTAGAATCCCCAAAGTCAAAGAAGCCGAGGATACTTTACCTTATCTGCCTCTGCTGCTACTACCAGCTTCAGTCTTGCAATCAAAGCTTCATATTCTGCCTCATTGTTTGAGGCCTTGAACCCCAATCGAATGGACTGTTCCAATACCTCTCCATCTGGAGATATTAATACTACTCCTGCCTCTGCTCCCTGTCGATTTGAGCTCCCATCAACGAACAGTCGAAAGGAGTCGCCGATGTAAATGCTGCAGGGTCTGAGTTTTTCTTTCCTTTGCCGATGATATAAACAACGGCGTAGCCCTCAGTACTGCTTTGCCCCTTCTTGGCGATCTTGATCACAACGCCAAGATGAGCGAGTATGAGAACTACGCCTTGATGCTTTAACGTTCTGTTCAAGTACGTGTCTTCACTTGGTAACTTGTCTTTCTTTCTCTTTTCTATATTTTGTAATATTTTGCAATAACTTTAGTCTTGTGCTCTTTCAGGCAGTTCAGCATGCCCATTCTCTCCCCATTCAAGCTTTTAAAAATTGGGAGAAGTTGGTTGACGTGAAGAGGGAGTTCTCTGCCCTTAAAAAGGCCAACAAAAGCCTTCAATCAAAGATGAAGAAGCTGGAGGATCAGGCTGAGGCTGCCATTAAAGCCCAACAGAATGCCGAAGAAAAGGCTGAATCTGCCGAGGTCATCAGAAAGGTTGCAGAATCTCAAAAGAAGGAAGCCAAGGAAAAAA